TGAAGTCGCAAATGAACAAATAGTGTGCAAGTATAAAAGATTAAAAGTATTAAAAGCATGATTTTTTAGATTTTTTTGAAGTCGCAAATGAACAAGATCAACATACAATTTCCTCTTGCTTGACCTGTAATTTTTTTTTTTTAATAATTTTTTTTTTATATATCAAATATATTAATGCATGATGTATTATATTCACAACTAGGATTAGAATATCTGTGAGTTAGCATATGTTATCTGCGATCTAACCTCTATTACATACGATTTCCTCTAAAAATTTCGAACACCTCCATTTTTTAACCAAAAGTTATATATAAACCTATCATAAATGCATAAACATATTAAAAGATGGATAAAACATGAAATATTTATATAACTTATAAAGTTTTCGGAAGAATATTCTTGAGCCATTAAAGAGAGTAGAGAGGACTTCTTAAACTTAAATAGTGAAATTGAGGGTTATTTTCAAGTTTTTTTTTTTTTTTTTTTTTTTTTTTTTTTTTTTTTTTGGAAAGGGAACTTCCCTAACGAGGGTTTTCGGGCCAGCTTTCGCGCACCGGAAACCTTCCGACTATAATAAAATTAAGTCTTAATTTTGAGCTAAATCTAACTAAATCATTAAGATATTAGTTTATTTTTATAAATTCCGATTTAATAAGAGATTACACTTTTTTTTTTCGAAATCGCAAATAATTATTTTTCCTCCTCTATCATAGATTGAACCGATGACATCTAAGTTAATTATTAGTTTAGAACCTACATGTTATCCAAATGAGCTAACCCAATAGCAAGTAGTTTTCTATATGAAATTATGAATATTATTATGAAGAGCAATAATATATGCAATGTATGATTTGAATAACATTATGATGAGCACTAATTAATATATGCAGACATAGATATTTAATAGATTTGATATATCAATAGTAGCACCATGAGAAGTAACATTTTATATACGTGACATGTGAACAATAATATCTCTATTATAATAAAAGACTTAGACACTTAAGTTTAATAAACGATCAAAACCAAAAACAATAATCAGATTGTGTTTATATCAATCATAAAGTTTTATAAGCATAAAAACAAGAAATGATGATTTAATCTACAGACCATCCAATGAAGTGATGATTGATGAACTCTTAGAATTGAGAACGTAACTAGGTATATGGACTGTCTCTGATGGTCTGCTATATATTTATTTATTTTTACTAGACTTAGTTCAAATTCAATTTTATATATATATATATATATATATATATATATATATATATATATATATATATATATATATATATATATATATATATATATATATATATATATAGATCCGGTAAGAAATTTTTTTTGGTAGGAAGGTAAGAAGTTTTTTTTCTACATATTTTTTTGACGAACAAAAAAAATGAATCACTAGATGATTCATTTGTAAGATGATTCACAAGAAAAAATTCTCAAAAAAACATCTTTATGATTCATTTTTAAGTAAATTAAGAAAAAATCACTTTTATGACAATTTTAGTGAATAACAACAAAATCATTATATAAATGAATCATCGAGATGTTTTTTTGAGAATTTTTTCTTGTGAATCATCTTACAAATGAATCATCTAATGATTCATTTTGTTTGTTCGTGAAAAAAATATGTAGAAAAAAAACTTCTTAGCTTCCTACCAAAAATTTCCTTCTTATTTGATCTTGACTCTCTCTCTCTCTCTCTCTCTATATATATATATATATATATATATATATATATATATATATATATATATATATATATATATATATATATATATATATATGTCATCAAAGTGGGGGAGGAGCGGGTTGGGCATTGGTATACCTGACCCCAGGCTCATCCTAGTTTTAGCCTAATGAGGATCCCCATACCATATACGGTACTCGTTTTGCGGGGAATACCTGTCCCAATTGGGACGGGTCAACCGAATTCCCCACCGAATCGGCTAAAATTTTTATACTTTATTAAAATATATAAATAGAATTTGACAGATACTCATTCCTTTCATGACTATGATATGTCTTTATTTCCATGCTCAGTTCCCTTGATTGACTCTTAATCATAGATAAATGCATTGTCTTAGTTTGGTTTCCTTATACGAGATGAATGTCGAATCACTGTATTGGGCGATGTTGTCGGTTCCCCGGTGGGCGTATCAGAACCCCAAACTTTTTAGAATATTGAGCAACATGCATGAAGGGTTCAATTTGTTGCTAGAAGATTAGCAAATAACATTGAATCAAAGAGAGATGAAGGGCTAAACATTATGAAATTATATGTAATCACCACAAAAAAAATGTTGATTAGTGACGAAAACAAAATAGTCACTATCAATAGAAGGAGTGGTCACTAAATGTTTTAGTGACCAAATTTTTAGTCGTCACTTGTCGTCACTATAGGTCTGTCACAAAATTGATTAGTGACAAGAATATAAAAGTGGTCACTAAACAGTGACTAAAATATAATGGTCACTAAATATGTGACGATCAGTTTTGTCACTAAATGTTGTCACTAATTAATTAAAGTCGTCACTGATTTAGCTAATTGGTGACCATAAAAGTCGTCACTGTCTTATCCAACTAGTGACCATAGAAAGTAATCACTAGTTTGTCCAATTGGTGACCATAGAAAGTCGTCAGTGGTTTATCCGATTAATGATCATAAAAAGTCGTCACTGATTTATCCAATAAAACTTGTCACCGATTTTTGTTGCTAGTTCTATTATTTAACCCATTTAAGTAACATTAAACGAACCTAGAATCTACAAATACTGAATGGGCTAAAAACATAATATATTCACCTTTGAACAAATTTAGGACCACCAAAACAGATTTCTGAAAACAGTAAGTACACAAATAATAGTAGTTACAAAAGAATGTGATATAGATTGTTATCAAGCCTTGTTGCAGGGAGGCCTTGTGAGCTATTTTACTAGCTAAACCAACAACTTTGACTAGCTTCCTCTAAGCCCTTTTTAACGGACTTTTACATCTCTAACTGCCTATGTGCCTACAAAACAATGACATCATTTAGGGTTCTTCGTTTAATGACAAGACCATTATTGTCTTTTGAACATGAAAGGGTGAGGTTGGGTGTTACCTTGATTTTTGCTCGATAAGATGCAAATAAGGTGAGTTGTTCTGAAGTCTTTTCAGCCATTATAACTTCTGGTTATGCAGCTTTTTCTAGTGAATTCTTTTATCCTTCATAACCAATATTTTGGTCATCATCAGTTTTGAAACTTTTAACCCCCTTTTGAAACTCATACATAACACCCTCTACAATGCTGGAATATCTACAAAATAGCCAAATATTAATATCTTTTTGTTTATTATTTATTTAACAAAAAACCATACAAGTATTACATGTAGTCATACAATTGCACCCTTTTACTTTCCATCCTCTCTGATCTCACCACGAAGCTCCCATCACAAATGTATATTTTATAAGCTTCAAAATACACTTCCCTTTATAAAACAAGGTATATACATGTAACTCCAACTGAAGTGTTGGGAACTACACCTCTAGAACCTTTAAAGAACTTAAGGGGAAATGTAAGACACCCATTTTTACCTTTCATGTAATCGTAAAGTTACCAAATTTGCTTCAATGGCCACAAATGAAACATCATGTCAACAAAATATTAAAACTCCACATTATGTTGAAGACCATTTGTATATCTTGGTAGAGTTCTTCATATTTTTGGGCCAGTGAATAATCAGCCTTCGTAGAAGATGATTTCTGGAAATATGATTTATAAAAGTCTAATGGCCACAGATAGTATCAACTCTAAAATTGAAAAGTAACAAGTTGAAACCCTAATTTATAGTGTAACTCTCCTTATTTCTTTCCTAAATCAAAAATAAAGATGCTAGAAAGATCAATACCTCAACAAAGTTAGTGAATTTAGGATCTTTGTTTACGAGTAACTGATGACCTAAACAAAAAGAAATCGAAATTTCCAAAATCAGATCACGTCGACCAAAAAGAGAATCAACATCCACATTTTATTTTTTGTTATCTAGGATTACCTCGTTCTCCTCGGATAGATGTGGAAGGGCCAAGGGTTGAACCAACAAAAGCCAATTGGATGCTAGAGATGTGTTCAAATGTGTTTAGAAGACCTCAAGTGTAAGAAATCTAAAGACACAAAAATAAAATAAATTCAAAATTAAAGTCAGCAATAGACGTTCACAAGAAAATAATTCAAAATGTTCACTTACCTTCAACTTTTACGGCAGCTATAATTGTCAAATATACGAAAAACATCATTTTTACTAATATTCCTATCATACCCTTCAGCATAAACCGAAGAATAATAATAGTTGTATATGAGGGGATCTTACCCTTCATTTTAAATGTAGTTTCATGATCAAACATGATACACTACTAGAAAACAGCCCTTTAATGACGCGCAAACAATGACACGCAGTGATTTACGATACGCAAAAGCGTGTGCCATAAAAATAATGTCATCTCTTCTAAAATTAATGACCAACAAAAAAAACACGGAAGGCACTATTTAAAAATGAGTGTCATCTAGAAATGTCGCTTTATATATATTTTTTAATGAAAGACGCGTTCTCTTCTTTTGCAGCTGGGGGGAAACGAAAATCCCAAAAGTTTGAAAGGCCGCCATTGTTATCCTCTACCTTATTTCCATCATTCTTTCTCTTTCTCTCTCTCTCTCTATATATATATATATATATATGTATATATATATATATATATATATATCTTACTCTAATACCCAAAAAAAACCCTAATATCATATGCAATCCTCTTTTCTCCCACAACAAAATCGCAATATCACCAAATCTCTGATCCCGTCTTTTGAACAGATCAAACCCGCAGGGGTTCTCGATTTCTCTATGTTGATTTGTGGTGACATGAACAAAAAAAAAGGAGTGTAGCGCCTCTACTTTTCAATTTCATTTGTTGGTTGCTAAATCCTCCTACATCTCCCATACTAATCCATTCTCTCACCATGGATTCCGGTCCTCAGTTTGCCGTAGACGGCGGTGGCGGCAGATCTAGTGGAAAAGTCTATAAACGGCGGAGAAGCGCTACCAGAAAGACTCCATATGACCGCCCCACTGCGCCTCCCCAACTAGAAAGCCCTAATTGGTTAAATGGACTTGTTTTCCCTGTCAAATTTGTTGTTGGTGGTGCTAGTAAACATTTTTTGTCAATTTGGAACCCCAAGAGTTGGGCCTTGCATTCGTCTTCTTCAGACAACAATTCTGGGGGTGTTGAATTGAACCAGGTAATTTTAAAGTTCTTCTTTTGTATCATGGAACCCTAGCTTTATGGCCACACTTAATGAGCCTAAATGTATATATATGTCTAAGTAGTATCCACTTTTATTATACCAGAATAAAGGCGGTTCATCTCGAAAGAGCATAGTTACTAGAAACGCTCAAGTAGTCATGATCCTCGTACCCAATCAGGACGTACCCAATCGAAGCCAAATCGTCCCGGTACGTAATATCTTGGAGAACCCTAAAATTCCTCCAATCGATCCCAATTGCGATCGGAGACGTTCCCACTGGCATCCCTGAAGTAAAAAAAGACCGTACCTGAACTCGATTTTGTACCTTGCGATTTGAATTTGGGCATCGATTGAACTGAATTTAGGTACGATGGATCGATTGTTTGAATTCCTAATCATAATTTCATATTGTAAATTTGTCGTATTTGAGATTACTATATATACACCTTCAATCAACTATATATACACCTTCTATCAGACATCCAAAATCTAATTCACTTCCGATTTCATCTCTCTATCTTTAATTTCCCCACTTAAATTTCCTATTTCTACTTTCCGACGAGTTTACAGGTATCAAAGTAAAAGGAGATGGACCAATTGTGTTAGTTTTAGCTCCAACTCGTGAACTTGATGTTCAAATACGACAAGAAACAACTAAATTTGGTGCATCTTCAAAGATTAAGAATACTTGAATTTGTGGTGGGGTTCCAAAGGGTCCTCAAGTTCGTGATTTACAGAAAGGTAGGTGGTGATAAGCTCAAATATGACTTTACTACTATGGATTGGGTATATCCTAATGATTCTTCAGCTTATTCAACATTTTCCAGCATTATATCTATATATATTTGTTGTGCCTAAAGCACATGTTTCATCATCATTTTTTTAAAATCTTTTCTTTCAGGTGTTGAGATTATCATTGCTACACCTAGAAGATTGATTCGTATGTTGGAGTCTCATCATACAAACCTAAGGAGGGTGAATTACCTTGTGTTGGATGAGGTAGATAGGATGCTTGACATGAGTTTTGAACCTCAAATGAAAAAAATTGTTTCACAGGTTTGTGAATTGTGATTAGTACTTTTTAACCTTACTTTTATAATAAGAGAAAACTAAAAAATATATTTTCAATTTTTTCTTATCTTATGGGTTTTTGTATATACACAGATTCGACAAGATCGTCAAACATTGTATTGGAGTGCTACATGGCCAAAGGAAGTCGAACAACTTGCAAAACAGTTTCTTTACAACACATACAAAGTAATTACTTCTTTTCTATTTTCACCATATGTTCATATTTAATCCTTTTTTTGGACATTTGAAATTTGGACAGGTGGTGAATGGTTCACAAAACTTAAAAGCTAACCATTCGATTCAGCAACATGCGGATATTCTTACTGAGAATCAAAAGTACAACAAATAAGCTGACCGTTTTTATTGTGCAGGCGAGACATCCATCTCTCTTACTTTTCTGCTTCTTAATCCCGTTAAGCTCATCATTCAGATCAGGCTCATTATCGCCTCTTCGATAAAAAGTTACCTGATTGGTTGTCACACGGTTAGGTATTTATATCAATTCTTATTCATTTTGCAGGACAATTTCACTCGTTGTTGGACAATTTCTTGGTATGTAAGTGAATTAGGGTTTCAGTTTGCTTTATTTTCCACCTCTTCGATATTTTCGGCTCTTTTGATTCTTTCTGCCTATTTTCGTTGATAAGTTAGGGTTTTGGTCGCTTTGTTATGGACTATAAATGGTGAATGATTCCTATACATGGCTAAAGAGAATTTAACTTATACTTATAGTTGCCACTCCTTCTATTCCTACAAAAAACGAGCTCACATTGGTCTTTGAATTCAATTCAGATAGTTTTCAAATGCCAAATTATGCGTCTTTTCTTTTTGGGGTTTGCATATCTCCTGGATATAACGCTTAAAATTTTGTTGGAAAATAGAAAAGTTATCTCTTTGATTGGTAATACTTTGGAATTAGCATATTTTGGTTGCTTCTCATTGATGCTTCAAGTGAATTCTTGTGGATGATTTGTTTCAGTAGTGATAGGTTTTACAAAAAAAAAATTAATTTCAAATCTATGCCCTTGAGGGCGGATGATTTATTCCCTCATGGCTTTGGTTAAGAAGACATTTTTCTCTTCCAAGACAAACCATATTGTGCTAAATACATCTTTCTCATGTGGCAGATGTCATTATAGATAATGAATTCTGATGCTGGTAATACCTCTCAAGATGGTAGGGGCGCTGATGACCGTGATGAAGGTATTTTATATTGAAACATAACTCTTCAGCATCAATTCCCATCACAAATTTATTCAAACAATATTGGAAAGAACATGTGTGATCATGTGTTAGTTTGTTTTGAAAGTCATAATAAGCGCATCTTACCACTATTGATTACAATCAAGAGTTGTGAATAATATTGTAAATTTATAACACACAATAATTGTAAGCATGTCATTTTGGATAGTTGAAAACCTTTACTTCTTGCATTGTTTATCATCTTCATATGAGTTCAATTGTTTAGAATTTAGAATATAAATATGTTTTGATGATTCATACGTGCTTTTAAATCCTGATTCCAATTTCCATCCTTGTGTACTGATTTGGATTCCACATTTAACCCCTTTGAATTCAGTGACTTGTCTTGTATGTTATTTAGAATTCTGAAATTTTAATTGGCAGATGATGATGATGATGAATATGAAGATGCTCGTGATGGCAATCGTCTTTTGGAATTCATGTTTGGAAATATTGACGGGGCTGGTGATCTTGATATTGATTACCTTGATGAGGTATCTGTTCTTATTTTTTATAGGTGTTTATATATATATATATATATATATATATATATATATATATATATATATATATATATATATATATATATATATCAACTTGGATACTAAAACCATGGTTTTGTTTCTCAGGATGCAAAGGAGCATCTTGCTGCACTAGCTGATAAGCTTGGTTCTTCACTAACAGATATACATGTATACAACTACTTTCTACTTCCTTCAACTTGTGTTTATGATTAGTTTTATTAGTCATTACACATTTCCATGTACTCTTTTTTTGTATGATAACTAATAAGAATTTTTCACTATTTTAGTATCTAGATCTAACTCTTTGTTCTTTTACTATCTCATGATTCAACTGTCAGTAAAAACCTCACAAACGTCTGCTGATGTTGCTGAACAAGGTATCATTGTTCTTATTAATGAATTTATGACTTTGGACTTATAGGATAATGGTTGATTATGTGGACATTATATAGTTGGTAATCTTCTAATTCCACCTCTTGTGCTACATCCAAACATATTATGATCTGAATGCTGAAAATGCAGTTGATTATGAAGATATTAATGAACAGTATGAAGGACCAGAAGTCCAAGCATTGACTGAGGAGGAGTATCTATTACCAAAATCTGATTATGTTTCTACAATTGTACCACCTGTTGCCTCATCTTCATTGTTTAATGATGAAGATGAAGAAGGGGAAGAATTACAGAAAGAACTTGATCGTGTGGATAATGTTGACCAAGTTGACCAAGTTCAAAGCCCTTCTGTTGTTAACCTGTAACTATGTATTCATCATGTGGGACCCGTGTTATGTAATATTCATATTCATATTATATAGTTTTAGTGACTGATGTTCATGACATCCCCAAAATCTCGGCCAGAAAAGACCGATTTTCATTTATGCTTTTAAAATAATTTCAGAGTAAATACTTTTGATTTGAAAGAGTTGCGGAATTTGTTCCCAAAAAACAAAACATGATAAAACAATGTTTACCAAAGCATTTCATAAAAGAAATGTATTTTCATTATATAATCAAAACTCGGGGTGTCATGTTCCGATACAGACCAATAAGCATAAACGATAACATTACAAGTCATTCAACAAATATATACCTATACAGACTTGTAAACAAAACAACTTGATGGTTCATCCATCTTACGCCCTCGCGCCACTTCCTGTAATACAAATAAAACTGAGTGGGTCAGGCTTCGGAGCCTGGTGAGAATATAGGGTTTTCAACCCACAATAAATAATTAAATTAATTTTCATCAACCAACAATAACCCAATTACCCATTCCCGTTATTCTCACTTTATGTCCCTAAAATAACTAACATAAGGGACCTAGTCTAAGAATATTTCATCGGGGTGACAACACATGCTTCGGGGGTTCCTCAGCAATATAAGTCAAATAAGGCAACCATGAGGGGGATGGAATACAACGAATGGACACCCAAGTTCATTAACACCTACAGGTTATGAGCCTGCTAGCATTCCACGGGACTGTCTAGAAACGTCCGTGGTCGTCATCTAAATTCCGCTAGATGACTGGATCAAAACAACATCGAGGCCTCTCATCTGTTTATTACACACCAACTATCTATCCATGTTCTACCCAACATATTAGTAGATAAAACATACATTTTTATACATAGTTTCAAAACCTGTATAACATGCTCAATCAATACATTTTCCACATAACAGATGAGGCACACCCACATAACACGTATTTCATAGAGAAATAATCAGATCTATAAGATAGAAGAAAGTGAATATACATTCACACACATAACAACAAAATATACACATAACACGTATTTCGTATAAAATACTTCATAATTATGCGTTAGAAGAAAGTAACTACGCACTCACTTGATCAGAAGATGATCGGACAGCACTACGGCTCGTAGAAGTAGTAATCCTCAGCAGATCTGGAAGATCTCTACAAAAATCGAACTTCTCGCGGGCAGAGCTTCGGCTCGGGAACCGCACTTCTCCGGATCTTCGGGATCTCGGGACTTGCTTCGGGACTCGGGAATATTACCGGGGCTTCGGGGTACTTCTAGCACGCAAATCAATGCAAAACGGGAGAGAGAAGGGAGAAAAATAGCAAAAGAACCGGCTGCCCTCGCATCCTATTTATAGGGGCTGGGCCTCGGGTTTACGCGGGGTGTACGAGGGTACACGGGGCGTACTTCGGATGAGTCCGGTGACTCCTCTTCGGATAATACCGGATTTAATAATTAAATTTAATTATTAATTATTTAATAAACTTCGAAAATTCATATCTTCTTCATACGAATTCCGTTTTCGACGTTCTTTATTTCCACGCGAAGGTGAGACTACGCTCTACAACTTTTGTTTAGACTCCGTCGGCTAATTTTGAATTTATTTTTATTATTTATTTTTATTATTTATTTTTAATAGACTGGGACAGAAAATTTCGTTATAAATTCATAACTTCTTCGTTTGACCACCGTTCTCGCCTAACTTTTTATCTCTTCGATACTAACAACGAGATCTTCGATTCTCGTTTAGATCACTAAGGCTAAATATCGCTCTAACGTAAATTTCATTTTTTACGTCATTCAGCGTTGCCGGTTCTGTCGCGAAAGTTCGACATGTCATAACTTCTTCGTTATAACTCGGATTTTGGCATTCTTTATATCTTCGGAAACCTTGTTTCAACTACTACAACATTATCTAAAGATATCAAGTTTATTTTACACTTAAATTTTGACGCTTATTTTTATTCTTAATTAATCAAACCACATAATTAAGCAATTAAGCACAAAACACATAATACTCAAATAGTACACTTCTATTATTTCAAAACGGGTTACAAAGGTTAACCTAGACTATTATATCATCATTAATGACAGGCCTAGAAACACAGGCGTTACAGGGTGGCAGGATGAAATGTTTCCTTACAAGAAGAACTTTTCTGGAAAGATGATGCCCACAAGATCTTGAACAAGTTGGTGATTTGCTAAATAAGAAGCTTAGAATTTTGAATGGTGGAATGAATATTATGAAGGTTAGTAAGTTAGTTGCTTTTTTCTCTTTATTGACACAAAAAAGAAGATGAAGTTTTAACATAATTTTGTTCAATAACTTGTTGCTTGATCTATCCTAATGTAGGTTGGAAATACAAAGAAAAATGCAAGAGAGAGTTTTGCATATGGAGCTTGTGGTCAGGTATCCTCTACAAATGTTATGCCTTTTTCCTTTTTAACATAAAATACAAAGTTCAAGTATGGTCTACATATGTTGTGATATGATGATATTATGGTTTGATTCATCAGTTTGGTCACATGAAAACCAATAAACACTGCCCCAAGTACAGTGAATTATTCCAACATCAAAACACTTTAAAAAAAAAAAAAAAAAGTATATAAATTTGACAGTTTGTGTTGCTTGATACAGTAACCAATTCCTTCAGCAAGCCAAAGAACAAAGATCGGTTACCCTAGAGACTCAGATCAGATGTGTCGCCAAGAACCTCGTGTTCTTTTGTCTGACTACCCATGTATCCCATTAGAGGAAGCTCAAGGTTCTTTACTTCTCTTACACTATAATAATCCATCTTCACACTTATTTTGTAGTTATGTTTTTTTTTGCAGGCAATATAGATACTGTGAGCAAGTTCATAGGTTTAGAGTCCTTAAGTGGTGTTATTAAGGAAGAGTGGACACAAGTGAGGCACACATTTAAAAAAAATCAGCACAAATTTTGTTTACAATGAGGCACACATTAGGTTATTAGAACTATTAGCTTGTAAATTTCTGTTACAACTTCTATTGATTTGTTTTATTTTTCTATAAATTGAACGATTATTTGTATGACATTAAATTTTATGTAATGGATTGTATTTTTTGTATATGATATTTTATTTTCTTTTATGAGACATTAAATACAAATTTAATTTGAAAATTAGTAAATCTATAAATAATATTTTTTTAAACATTAAAAATTATGATATGCAAAAATGTGTGTCATCTTCATTTATGATATGACCTTACTTGATAGGGGCTTTCTTGATATACATTGCGTGTCATTAACACACGCGTCGTAAGGTCACGACACGCGAATGCATGTCGCCTTCCTTTATAACAGGGCCTTCCTTGATACACATTGCGTGTGGTAAACGTGCGTCGTAATTGCGCGTCGTAAATGAGCGTCGTAAATGCGCGTCGTCTATAGATGACGCGCAAAAGCGCGTCGTCTCTCTTTATGACAGGGCCTTTCTTGACATGCATTTGCACGTCGTCTGAGACTTTTACGACGCGCAATGAGCGTCGTACAAGGCTGTTTTTCTAGTAGTGATAGATAGAAAGGAGTACTATCTGTTAAGTGTAAAAATAATTCTTGTTATCCAAAAGATCGTAGTTTTCTTAGTCCCTAGTTCTCTAATGAGTTTCACACTAAAACAAGAAGTCATAAATTATCCATTGGTGATGGAAAGCTATAAAGTATAAACTATACTTGTGGGATGTCAGCAAAGTCAGGAATTAATACGTTAGTTGATAATGATAGTATGCAACTCCTTATTTCAAAAAAGAAAATGAATGACAAATTACCTGCATGGTAAGTGGAAAATCATCTTGAAAGTCGGGAGAAAAGAAAAGGTTTGCTCATTTCTTAGTGACTGAGGGTATTCCTTAATGTATAGAAACAAGAAGCATTAGCTTTTAGAAATGAGAAACCCCAAATGAATGAAAATGAAAACAATGTGTTAAGAGAAGAAACATGGTTAAGCACCAAGCGCAATTACATGAAACTTCAAGTAATTTGTCCAACATTAGAGCTTTTTGTTGCAAAAGAAATAAGAATTGAAGGATTCTCATTGCTAGTAAATTGTTGAAGGCATATAATTATGTGACTGTTACCAATGTACTTAGATGGAAGGCAAAAAAAAAAGCCATTTTAACAATGGTCTTAACAAAAGGGGAAACATTTGTACTTTGAAAGAGACAAATGATGTTGCATGTGCTTCAAGAGCTTGACTTCACTGTTGATCAATTGAAAAAATCTAGGTTTCCTTTTACTAGTTGAAGTATCTCCTCAAATCAGAATAGATGGAGAGTATTATTAAAACTTAGCAATTTACCATAGATGGTGCTATAAGCGAATAAGCTACACTAACAAATAAACAAATACAAACCACTGGTGAGCAGGGGCAATTCCAATCAACCATTTATCAGATGGATCATATCTACTGTTGATTATCTGATTGTTTGGTAGATTAGCTGTTCTTTCAAACATCTTTGTAGGTTCAAAATCACCTATAAAAAAGAATGCATCAGGTTTCAGAAAATATAACCTTTAGATTATATACCAAAAGGAGAGAAAAATATGAAGCAATGTCAATTCAATAGCTTAATAGATGAAAATTTCTATCAAAAGCATGAAGAGAAATATAAGAGCAATGAACACTAAATTGGAGATCAATACTACAAAATTGTAAATCCTAGTACACTATGAAGATGCACAACGAATCGATCATAAAACCTCAAAACTAAATAGTGGGGAAAAACGTGCGGCAACCCGAAACTTTTTTCGTTATCTTTAACCGATATGCGTTAATAAAATTTGAATTTTATTGGATTTTCCGTCAAATTCCTTGGTTTGGAAAAATTATTACGTTTTATATAATTAAAATTATATACGAATCGGAACCAAAAATTGCGTGAAAAACCCGAAATGTCTCGAAAATCTAACAGTTTTCGGCCTAAGTGAGTGTACGACCACACACCCGTGTACGGCCGCATACCCGTTCATGGTTGGTGCCAGGTGGACCCCACCACCCAATGACGAATCTAGAACCAAAATCAAAGTGGTTCCTTATATAAATGAAATTGAAAAAAGTATGAAAATATAGGTCTTTCGAAAAAAATAAGGTAGTTCCTTATGTTTTTTTATATAGAATTGTCTATTAAAAAAGAAAAAAGGTAGGTCCTAGGACCCACCTTCACATAGTGTAGCTACGCCCCTGCCACCACCGACCATACCCCCCAGCCTATAAATACAGGACCTCCACCTTTATTTGAACACTCTTGGCCGAAAACTCTCTCATTCTCTCTCTAGAACCCCTGACTGTACACCCTAATAACACCTTAATTCTTCTGAAAATCATCGAGAATCATCATTGGGAGCAGTTTTGCAGCATCTAGAACACGTTTTTCACCAAAATCCAGCATCCTTGTTCTTGGGTGTACGACCGTACACCCTTCAAAACTGCAAATCTTCATTTACCGTACACTCGTTCATGACCGTACACCTTCAAAGGTCGTACACCCTTCGAGAGACAGTCTACAGCCGTACACGGTTCACAACCGTACACTCCCTCTACGACCGAACACACTCCCTAAGTGGTGCAATTGACTGAAAACCCACTTTCCTCGATTCAATCAAGTCCCAGTAACATTCCTTAACCAAAAGCAAATGTTTTTCTAACACTTAATCTAACGAAATCGCTAATTTAGATACATATATGTATTTATTTGATATTAGGATTCCGTTATGTGCCACGTACAGCAACTCGAGGATCTTCGTTTTCTGTTCGACGCTTTCACACAATAAAACAGTAAGTTCATACCCCTACACTTTTATGTTTTTTTTTTGTTATATACGTTTTCAGGGGGAAATATAAACCAAACACAAATGATTTTGTGAATTGAAACAAAATGTTTTCAACCAATTTTAAACTTATGCAATTGATCCAGCCCAACGATTTTCATAAAATATATATATATTTTTTTATCCTCTTTTGTATTATGCGAAGCATAAGGGATACTTTCAAATCATAAGTTTTTAGAACAAATCACGAACTAAGAACATAACTTTTCAGACAAACTATAATATGTATAGTTTGGGGAATTCATTTTTTTGTTCAAAAGTTATAAAAACTTCAAAATATTAGTCATAAGTCACAAAACAAAATATAAACGGTAAATTGCTAAATGGTAAAAAAACATAAAGTGGTAAAAAAATATCATTTGCAAAAAAAAAAAAAAAGGAAAGGTAGGATCGGATTAGATCTCGATCCTACGATCCTACCTACGATCTTACGATCCTATCTGCGATCCTATTCCAAATACGATCCGTATATGATTCGATTCGTTTTTCATACCTAGGATCGTAGGATCATAGGTTCCTACAATCAGAATCGCAATTTTGACAACCATAGTCTCATTCATATATTCCATTCAAGAATGAGAAGACGTTCATAGGAAAACTGCCTACTTTCAATCTAAACTTCTAATAACCGTGATTCATCGCCAAGATGATAAAACAATTTTTATTTTTTATTTTAAATAACAAAAAACTCATAAATGGTCACTGTAATAGTGGAATGATGGTAATGCCATTCAGTTAACAGACAAAACTTGACGGAATTAACAATAAGAACCTTTTGTTAAAAGTTTTGAAACCACAACGATCATCTGTGAGGTTTTTTAAAATTATGGACGAAACTTCATATTGTGAAACCATAGGGACCATTAATGAAGTTTTGTCGTTTCCAAAAATATAAAAACGACAGTTTAAAAATCTTTAGTTTCCGTAGCCTCGATGTAATCAATTGGCCTTCACATGAAGCTTCATTTGTGGTTTATTAATTATACTCGAAACCTTAAACTATTAATAATTTTACTTAGACCTTTCGGTATATTGACTCGTTGTAGTCGACGTGGCCACGAACAACGGCCGTGTGCACTACCCCCATTTTTCGTGGTTGCTCATTGTCGTGGAGGATCGTGGCCACCACCACATTTGATCACGAACTCTTATCTCTAAATTCTTTCTTCTTCTTGTCTTTTTTCTCGTTTTGACAACGATCTCCTCTCGCGCACACTATCCCGGTTGCAGGGGGGAAAGTTGTGGTGATGAAATGGAAGCGGAAGACGGTGGTGGTAGTGAAGACCGTTATGGATGGCCTTATATCTTAAACATACTTCCTAATTCCTTGACTACAAATGGAATAGCAACAAATAGCGACAGTCCTAGATATCCTTAATTTGTGTATGTAATCTGCATGTAATCTTTTAAAATTTTATGATGGATTAACCAAATGTATAAATACATTGCTAATCCGTCTGTTATTCTGTTAGAAATGTCTTAAATAAAACTCTGCTATTACATTCTATGGGAGATGCGTCGCAAATTACAACGGATTTTGTCTTAGGCTAAAATTCGTGCACGATACCCTATTGTGTTGTAATGATTCCAGTGATTCTAATACAGAATATCATAATATCATCAATTAGAAGAAACTTGTTTTAGATGCAGTGAAAGTGCACAATCTATAGGTGTTGCTATATTCGTCGCCAGGATGTGATCAATTTGGCCTTCACATGCAGGTTCATCTTTGGTTCTTCAAATTATACTCTTGAACGTTAAAAAATCAAAGAGGATGCCAAGAAAATCGCAATTGCCGTTGACATTGATGTTAAACTCAACTTCAATGGCATCCTTCCTCGATCTCTCCTTAAAACCATGCCTTCATATATCGGCCAGCTATTTACCACCACAAATCCAGATATGAACATCTGGACAAAAAACTCTTCCAACCTCCCATTTATGAAAACCTCCATAAAGCCTTTTACAAACGAAAACAAGTTGATCAATGATGCGACACTAAATGGAAAAAACAAGACTGATTCAACTCCAAAATCAAACACTCCATGTTCGTATAGTCTTTTTTGTTCTTCCTCAATCACTTTGCTGGTAACATTGAACCCAGATGTTGAAAAACCGAAGGATTTTAGTGACCACTCGAGCATTGCAAATGGGTGACTCGATAGCCCCCATATCAACCACATTCTTTGCCAGTTCCACCACCTTTGCATCGATCCACCTCCAAAGACCACAAAATCTACAAAATCTTTTCCGTAAGCTCCAAGAAATAGAAACGCATGCAAGGAAATCCCACCTTCCGAAACCTGAAATCAGCATAATCCTTCTTCAATAAAGTAATTTTTTCACAAGATGTTTGTGTTATCAAAAGTCGAATTGATACCTTTGCAAAGATTGGGAAGGAGTTGAGGAGCGAAATTTGAGGCAAGAATGCGTAGACAATGATTGGAATCGACCAAAAGGAACGAAGTGTGTAGTGTGTGTAACATAAAGCATGTAGAGGATTCATTGATCGAATTCCATACGTTATTGGGCAATATTTGTTAAAGAATATTTCGAGGAATCCCATGTACCATCGTTTGATTTGGGTTAGGGCATCATTCAAATTGGTTGGCGAACCTCCAAGAAACGCGGCTCTTTTTGGATTGCAAAGAATCGACTTCCATCCTTCACAATGAAGTCGAAAGCTTGTGTAGGTGTCCTCAGTTAAGGTGCCATATCGAAATCCAATCTACAAAACATAGGCACCAGTAGAATACTTTTTATCCATTGCAAAAGTAAATATCATGATTTTTATTTTCAAATTCTTAGCTAGGATTATACTAGGGGAAAAGCCGATAATTAACCTCGGATCCCCATTTTGTATTATCCTCATAGTCGCAGCTTGCTGATTGGTGCGCTAAAACCAAAACATCTTTAGTGCTTATTGGAATTGAGATGTTTTTTTGCATGATTGTATCTTTAATGAATCCAAAGCATGAGTCATTGCTAATAACATGTCGTTTGAAAAAGCCTCCAGTACCCATAAACTGAGCGCCTAACAAGCCATCCATGCCAAGGCTTAAAATTTGTGTCTCGGCCTTGAACTCCGAAGCATAAATGTCATTCGTGTTGATGCCTTTGAATCTTTGCGGAAATTGAACAAATCCAAGCTTTGAATCAGCATTTGGATCCATAAAATAACATAATGTACGAAGTGGCGTTTCAGGGTCATTTGAGAACATGTCACAATCTAGAACAAGGACAATCTGTCCATTCGTCATCAAGCCTGACACTCGAAGCTACAATATGAAGGAAAAGGGAGTGATAATCATTAAATTGAAACAAATTAAGTAGCTTTTTCCAGTGTGCACTTCGTAAAGCTTTCTACCTATCAGAAAAACTAACCCAAACACGGATAATAGAGAGATTACCAGTACGTTGAGTGCTCCAGCCTTAAAATTATGGGGCTTCTTGTTGTTTTTTTCTCGAGAAACGTAGACAAGATTTGGCATTACACCACCTCCGACATCTTTGTCTATAGTGTTGTCTAATATAATCTGTATTTCGTGTAAATAAAGAAAATCAAACACCATTACAAAAGGAGCAATTTTTTCTCAAAAATTTCCAAAGTGAGGTCATATTTATTTACTAAAATTGATAATTGATAACAAAACAACTACATGAATAGGAGAAACCTGAATAATTGTGGGATGATGTCGACGCGAGAAATTAGGCGTCCATTTACTGAAAGCATCACGAATTTCAGATTCCTTCACCTCATCCAAACATACGCCACCACTTTGCACCACCTTCTCCACCCTTGATTTCATTCTTTCATACATCGCCTGCCACACTAATCAGTTACCCTTATTTCACAGCATAGTCCATATTTTATTAGTAGTTGTTCATTTTTTTTTTTATTAAACTCTGTCAATTATATTTTATATTTCATGGAAAAGGGAATATACTTATTTTCAGAAACAAATTTAAGGAATAAAATTTAGCAATCGGAAAGGGAATGAAGGAAGCACCTTGATTTCATCTTTCTCAGGGAACCAAACAGGATCACTTTCAAAATACACTTCAGGAGACCGATCAACAATATTATGCTTCTTGCAGTATGGAATCCAATGCTTAGCAAACTTAGCAGCCTCCATGAACGCATACAGTGTCACTTCAGACCCTCCATCATCTGATATATAAACGGAAAGCTTATCCGTCGGGTAGTCATATGCCAATACAGATAAGGCCGTGTTCACCACTCCAACTGGTGGCTCTTTGGTGGGATCAGCCGTGCAAATCAACACATCTAACGCCGGATACTCTCTCTCCTCCACATACAGTTGCAGGTTTTCGGGGAAAACACGGCGATGAATTGGATTCCAGTGAAAGCATTGGGAGGTAAACCACATAAAAGCTAACACAAAGTCGGCTAGAAACAGAGTGATGGAGATTGGAGTTGGAGAGTAGATTAAATTACGGCAGTGGCGAAGGAGAAGAAAAGAAACGACGGTGGCGTAGATGACTGCAAAAATTCGGTTTAGCCATGTTTTAGAAAGTCGTTCAGATGAATGAAGGAGAAGGGCTGCCATGGTATCGTAGCCGGATGGATGTCTGGATTAAGTCTTCGCCTATTTCTTCTTCTTTACAATTTAATATTATCACCGTTTAGATATTATACAGAGGAAACTGGAAATTTGGTCCTTTGGTTTGCCTATTTTTATAGTTAAAGTCGTTTCTAGTTCTAAAATTGCAAATTTAGTCCATTTCAATTAGACCTGACAATTTGATACACAACAAGATTAATACGATACGAACACGATATGAGTTTTCCGAGTATGTGTTTTACAAATTCATGTTTCGTGTTTATTTGTGTCTCACAGGTATTTTAAATTCATGTTTTGTGTCTTACACGTGTCAAACACGAATTTATCTGTTTAGATACGTATAAGACACGATACAAATTCGTGTTGACACATGACACGTACAAACACATATATACACATATATATTTTAGGGTTAAATTTTGTATTTATAATATATTAAGGGCCAATTTCGTAAAAGTCAATAAATAGTTTATAGCCCTAGCTTAAAAAAAGCTATTAAAAACGTGTCTATTCGTGTTTTTTCGTGTTTTCGTGTAACACGGCTTAAAAACGTGTCTATTCGTGTTGTGTCATGTGTCACTCAAATTTTTTACGTGTCGTGTTCGTATTTATACCCCAAACACGTTTTATAATTTGCGTCGTGTTCGTATCTACCAAATTCGTGTTATGTAAATTTGTGTCTGACACGAATACACAACATGTAGACACGGATTGCCAGGTCTGATTTCAATAGATTTTATTATGATTTTGTTATCTATCAAACTGAAAAGACTTGTTATAATATATATATATATATATATATATATATATATATATATATATATATATATATATAAAAGGAACTATTTATTATTATCAAAAGGCTTGCATTTTCATATATTTTTCAATATCATTTATATAGGAAACCATATAGTTTTTCTGTTCAAGATTCGCCAAAATATATATATATATATATATATATATATATATATATATATATATATATATATAAAACTATATGGTTTCTTATATAAATGATATTGAAAAATATATGAAAAAGTAAGTCTTTTGACAAGAATAAATAATTCCTTATATATACTTGTATTACAAAAAAAGATAGGTCTTAGGACCTACCTTGAACGTAAGTAGCTACGCCACACATACATACTCTCTCTCTCTCTCTCTCTCTCTCTCTATATATATATATATATATATATATATATATATATATATATATATATATATATATCCGGTAAAAAAAATTTCGGTATTAAGGTAAGAAGTTTTTTTTCTACATATTTTTTTGACGAACAAAATAAATGAATCACTAGATGATTCATTTGTAAGATGATTCATAAGAAAAAATTCTCAAAAAAAACATCTTTATGATTCATTTTTAAGTAAATTAAGAAAAAAAAATCATTTTTATGATAATTTTAGTGAATAACAACAAAATCATTGTATAAATGAATCATCGAGATGTTTTTTTTGTGAATTTTTTCTTGTGAATCATCTTACAAATGAATCATCTAATGATTCATTTTGTTTGTTCGCGAAAAAAATATGTAGAAAAAAAACTTCTTACCTTCCTACCAAAAATTTCCTTCTTATTTGATCTTGACTCTCTCTCTCTATCTCTCTCTCTCTCTCTCTGTGTATATATATATATATATATATATATATATATATATATATATATATATATATATATAAAATTTAATGCTTTATTGAATAAAAATATTTTAATAACTCAGATATAAAATCATAATTAATAAAACTTTTAATTAAGTAAAAGAAGTACAAAAAGATATCATTCACTAATAACGACAGTTTTGGTTTATGGCTAAAATTTTCGTGCATGATAACCTATTTTGTTGTAGCTAGTGATACTAGTAATTCTGGTACATAAAACCATAATATCATCATTAGAAGAAACTTGTTTTAGATGCACTAAAAATGCACAAGATGTGGGTGTCGGGATATTCTTAGCCATGAAGTGATCAATTTGGTCTTCACATATAACTCCATTTGTGTTTTTTCATATTATAGTCGAACTTTAAAAAATCAATGAGGACGCCAATAAAATCGTAATTACCATTGAAATTGATGCTAAACTTAACCTTAATGACATCCTTCCTCGATCTCTCCTTAAAACCATGCCTTCATATATCAGCCAACAATTCACCACCACAAATCTAGATATGAACATCTAGACAAAAAACTCTTTAAACCTCTCATTAACGAAAACCTCCATAAAGTCTTTCACAAACGAAAACAAGTTGATCAACGATGTCACCGTAACCAGAAAAAATAATACCGATTCAACTCCAAAAATAAACACCCCTTGTTTATATTATCAAGGAGATACAATGAGTGTACTATCTACATTTGTATATATCTTTGTTTATAATTAGATAGTATTTATTCTATGTATAGCTCCTTAATTTGTGACCTTCCTATGGTACCAAGGTCTATTTATGTACCTCTGTATTGTGATCAGCCTCTTTATGGTATCAGAGCCTCTCTGCTCTAACGAGTCTCGATCATCCTTCTTCCTTCCAACAACCCTAATTCAATTGTCTTCATGGCACCTTTTGAAACTGTCATTCAAGTTACAGCCACAAGCCATTTTCAAATAAAACTTACATCCACAAACTACCCAGTATAGCACAAACAAGTCCATTCTCCCTCGTTAGGCTTGCTCTTCATGATTTCATAAGTGGTTCAAGTAAACCACCATCACAGAACATCACCAAAGACAACATTGTCATGCCAAATCCTTAATACACCATTTGGTATCGCCAAGACCAGATTACTTTTAGTGCATAACTTGGAAGTTGATATAAAGCAATTCAACCAATCCTCACCTATGTGACAACTGCAAAAGAAGCCTGGGATCGGTTAGGAACAAGCTATGCAGGCCAATCTCTCTCCAAAATTCTCTCTCAAGTCTAAAATTCTGAAGAATCCCAAGGGAAATCGCTCTATTGTTGACTTTGTCAATGATATAAGAATGATTGCAGATGAACTTGCAATAACTCAGAGCCCCATTGATGAGGAGGACCTCATGGTCCACATACTCAGCCAACTTGGAGAAGAACACGACTCAATCACCACTTCCATCAAAATTCGAGAAAATTTGATATCATTCCCCGAAATTTTAGATAAATTGGTTGACTTTGAATGCTCACAGAAAGAAAACAAAGTTGCTACATTCATTGCAATTGCCAACTACACTCACCATCAACAAGGAAGAACCAAAAATCGATCAAATCGTCTCCCTTTGATCTTCATCATGCCTTGGGTCATCCATATACTCGTGTTTTTAAGTCCCTTATTAAAGACTTAGGTATTCATTTTTGTTCTCTGTCTAATTTACAATTCCATTGTTCTTCATGTTCAATTAATAAAAGTCATAAACTTCCATTTGGCACAAACTCTTTTACTGCAACTAAACCACTGCAACTTAGTTACTCTCATATTTGGGGCCTATTAGAAAGTCCTTTGATGTTTTTTCTTATTATGTAGTATTTTATTATTAGTATTCAAGATATATTTGGCTATACCCCATTAAATATAAATCTGATGTCTCTAAAATTTTCCCACAGTTTAAACTCCTAGTTGAAAAGTACTTTCACCAACTCATCATTTACATGTTCACTGATAATGGTGGAGAATACCAAGCTCTTATTCCTTTTTTTTTTTTCAGTCCATGAGAATCTCTCACTACACCACACCTCCTCACACTCCCGAAAAAAATGGCATCGCTGAACATCGCCAACGCCAGATTGTTGAAACATGCCTTGCTTTACTTCACTTTGTGGGTCTTCCCTTCTCTTTCTAGTCGCATGCGTTCAAAACAGTAATTTTCCTCATAAATCGCTTTCCAACTCCCACCTTAAACTCTAAAGTTTCATTTGATGTGTTGTATGGCCGTCCTCCTAACTACACAAAACTCAAGCCTTTTGGCTGTCTTTGCTATCCTTGGGTTCTCCCTACTCTCCATCCAAACTTCATCCATCCTCTGCTCCCTACCTGTTCTTGGGTTACTCCACTGACAAACCAACATACAAATGATATCACATTGAAACTCATTGTGTCTATTATTCTAAGCATGTTGAATTTATTCCCGATCAATTTCCATAAAAAGTATCACCACTCTCAGATTTTACTCTCCCTACTATTAATGAATTCTTTACACTTCCGCCATTACCCTCAAAACATTCTATACCAAACATCACTCTTACACCCAACCCCACTCACAATACTTCTATTATGCCCCTTCCACTCACTCCTCTCATCATTCTTCCTTTGGAACCTGTTTCTCCATTTGATCCTTACTCATCGAGCTTACCTCAATCACCACCTCAATCACCATCTCGGTCTAAACCTCTACCACCACCTCAACCATCTCTCCTTGATCCCCTTTCACTAACGTCATCACCATCACCAGCACCTACTCGTGTCGCTTGCTAACGACTACTAAACCCAAAATATTTTAATCCCATTTACATTAACTCCACCATGTTTCATCCCATTCCTACTGCCTTAGAACCTACCATTGCTACTCAGGCCTTCAAGGACCCATTATGGCGTCAACCAATGGAAGATGAATACAATGCATTAATCCACAATACTACATGAGAACTTGTTCCACCCAACTCTCATCAACCATTCAGTTGCAAGTAGGTTTTTCGCATCAAGAGAAATCCAGATGGTACTAAAGATAAATTCAAGGCATAACTTGTGGCTAAAGGGTTTCTTCAACAATATGGCAAAGATTATTTTGACACCTTCGGCCTTGTAACCAAACATGTTACAATACAACTATTCTCTCCATTGATCTCTTAAATGACTGCCCCTAAGATAACTGGATGTCAGTAATGCGTTTCTTCGTGGTACATTACAAGAAGAGGTATACATAGTCCAACCCCCGGGGTTCATTCATTCTAAATATCCAAACCACATATGCAAGATAAGAAAATCACTGTACGGTCTCAAACAAGCACCACTTGCATGGTATCTAGCTCTCACTTCCTTTCTTTTCGGAAGTGAATTTCGCAAATCCCAAATCGATGCCTCGTTATTTATCTATAATCGTGATGGTATAATTTGTTATTTCTTGGTTTATGTAATGACATTGTTTTGACTGGAAATAACCCTTCTTTCATAGCTAAGTTTGTTGACATGCTTGCAAACAGATTCTCCATCAAAGATCCTAGGTCACTTAGTCATTTTTTAGGGATTGAAATTATTCCAACCAAGTCTGGTCTCCTATTATCACAACATAGTTACATCTAGGACATCTTAACTCACTTCAAAATGGATGGTGCCAAGGAAGTTACAACTCCTTTAAGCACATCAATTATTCTTACTGAAGATGGTAGAGCTCCCAAAGTTGATCCAACTCCATATCACAAGCTTGTTGGCGTACTCCAATATCTTTTCTTTACTCGCCTTGACATCTCATTTGCAGTCAACAAACTATCACAGTCTATGCACACGCCCTCCGAAACTCATTGGTAGACTCTTAAATGCATTCTTCGCTACTTAAAAGGAACCATATGCCATGGTCTCTTCCTTCACCGACATACTTCCTTGGGACTCACTACCTTCTCGGATTCTGATTGGGGTGGCGTAGTCACAAAAGGACACTCTACAACAGCCTATCTTGTGTATCTTGGCAATAATTTTATCTCATGGCAGTCCTGTCGTCAAATGCCAGTGTTAAGGTCCTCCATAGAAACTGAATATAAAGCTCTAGCAAATGTTGTAGTTGAACTATCATGGGTTAAAAATCTCCTTATCAAACTTGGTGTTCCAGTTTCACATGCTCCAACCCTTCATTGTGACAACACATGTGCTTCCTCTCTTTGTGTCAATCCCCTTTACCATTCGTGTATGAAACATGTTGCCTTGGATTACCATTTTGTTAGAGAACAAGTTGTTGGAGGTACTCTTAAACTTCACCACATTCATACATTAGAATGGCCTGATGATGCTCTCACCAAATCACTGGGAGGGATTCCTTTTCTAAAGCTAAGGTCTAAGATTGGAGTCACCGACGGATCCTCCATCTTGCGGGGGAGTACACATCTGCAGTTGTATATATCTTTGTTTATAATTAGATAGTATCTATTCTATGTATAGCTCCTTAATTTATGACCTTCATATCGTACCAAGGTCTATTAATGTACCTCTATATTGTGAATACTACATATGATTTATCAACCTCTATATATATATATATATATATATATATATATATATATATATATATATATATATATATATATATATATATATATATATATATATATATATATATATATATATATATATAGTCTCTTTAGTTTTTCCTTAATCACTTTGCTAGTAACATTGAACCCATATTTTGAAATTTTAGTGACCACTCTAGCAATGCATATGGGTAACTCGATGGCCCCCAAATCAACCACATTCTTTGGCAGTTCCACCACCTTTTCTTTGATCCTCCTCCAAAGACCACAAATCTAAAAAATCTTTTCGGTAAGCTCCAAGAAAAAGAAATGCATTCTTGGAATACCTACCTACTAAAACCTCTAATAAAAATAATTTTATCTTTAGTAAAGGTAGTTTTTTTTCGCAAGATGTTTGTATTATCAAAAGTCGAATTGATACCCTTGCAATCATTGGGAATGAGTTGAGGAGAGAAATTTGAGGTGAGAATGCCTAGGTATTAATTGGAATCAACCAAAACGCGGGAAGTGTATAATGTGTGTAACATAAAGCATGAAGAGGATTCATTGATTTAATGGCATATGTAATTGGGCAATATTTGTTAAAAAAAATATATCGAGGACTCCCATGTACCATCATTTGATTTGGCTTAGGGCATCATTCAAGTTCCTTGGTGAACCTACCTCCAAGAAATGCAACTCATTTTGGATGGCAAAGAATAGACTACCATCCTTCACAATGAAGTCGAAAGCTTGTGTAGGAGTCCATGGTTAAGGTTCCATATTGAAATCCAATCTACAAAATGTAGGAACATGTAGGACTTTTAGTTTTAAGGTATCCTAAACACTCGACGATATAACTTACAAGGCAATAACAAGAATTAACTTATGAATATAATGATTTATTTTATTTCAAATCCTTTGAGGAATCTAAGCATAAAAACATTAAGGGGAAAGCCTAACCTTGGAGCTCCACTTTGTATTGTTCTCATAGTCGCAGCTTGCTGCTAGGTGTGCTAAAACTAAAACATCCATAGTGTTTATTGGAATGTTATGCGTGCTTGCGTCTTTAATTAATCCAAAGCATGAGCCATCGCTAATGACATGCCATTTGAAAAAGCCTTCACTGCCCATAAACTGATTGCCTAACAAGCAATCCATGCCAAGACTTAAAACTTGTGTTTGGGCCTTGAACTCACAAGCATAAATGAAATTTGTATTAATGTCCTTGAATCTTTATTGAAATTGAACAAATCTGAGCTTTGAATCTATATTTGGATCCATAAAATGACATAATGCACGAAGTGGTGTTTCATGGTCATTTGAGAACATGTCACAATCTAGAACAAGGACAATCTGTCCATTGGTCATTAGGCCCGACACTCGAAGCTACAATATCAAGGAAAAAGTGAGTAATAATCAATAAATGGATACACAACAGCTTTTTCCGATATGCACTTTGTAAAGCATTATACCCCTCCAAAAAAATGCCTATAATAGAGCGATTATCATGACTTTGTGTGCTCTGGGCTTAAAATTATGGGACTTGTTGCTTTTTTCTTGAGAAACGTAGACAAGATTTGGCATTACACGACCTGCGACATCTTGGTCTATAGTGTTGTCTAATATAATCTATATTTGGTGTTCAATAAATAAAATCAAACACCACTACAAATGGGGCAATTTCTAGAATGAAAATCCATCACTAATTCATTAGACCATCCGTTATACGCACCACATAACACATATGTGATGGGTGTCACATCAACACCACATTCCACTACCACTAACATGGGATACCTACCACTAACACACCACTCCACATCATTATTTTTATTTTTTTTAATTCAAAAATAAAATATTTTTTTTTAATTCAAAAATTACAATAAAATTACATTTTTTATAATTAAAAAGCATTCATTTTATTAAAACTGTTTTTTCATTAATTATAAAAAATAAAATAACAACTTTAAACTACATTACTTAGTTAATCTAGAAAAAAAAAACACTACATTAATAAGAAAACGAACAAACGTACATATAAAAATCATAATCGTCGTTCATGCTACGTTGGTACAAATGTTCCGCGATATCTTCTCGAAGATTGAAACACGTTTCACTGTTATGAATTTCAACAACTCGCTCTAAAAAAGCATTCGTTCCGGGTACGAACTCCTCAATTGGAACGACAACGTCGTTCGGATCCTACGTGCAAATCGCTCGACCTTCATCTTCAATAATCATATTATGCATTATAATACATGCTAGGACCATTCGTTTAATTATTTCTTTATCCCAAAGTCGTGTAGCATATTTCACTACATGTCATGTTTGCGTAAGGACTCCAAATGCCCTCTCGATATCCTTTCTCTCCGATTCCTATTTTTTTGTAAAAAATTTTGCTTTTTCACTTTGAGGAACCGAGTATGCCTTCATCAATGTAGAATAATCCGGGTATATCCCATCACCAAGGTAGTAACCGTATTTGTACGCGTGCCCGTTTACCGTGAACGTCATATCAGGTGTTTTGCCGGTCCAAATATCGTTGAAAAGTGGAGACTGACCAAGAACATTAAGGTCGTTGTTAGACCCCGCTACTCCAAAAAAGGCATGCCATATCCACAAATCTTGAGATGCAACAGCTTCTCGGATGATAGTTGGTTCATCTATATCTCCTCGAGTGAACTGACCACGCCATGCAGTTGGACATTTTTCCCAAGCCACATGCGTACAATCTAGACTGCCAAGCATACCAGGAAATTCATGTCTCTCTTCATGAGCCGAATACAATCTCTCAATATCACGTTGAGTAGGTTCACGCAAATATTCTTCGTGAAAAAACTCATAAACACATGCAGAAAACCAATCTACGCATTCAACTGCGGTCCTCTCGGATACGTTCAAGTATTCGTCAGATGCATCAAATGTTATACCATATCCCAAATACCTAAAAGCAGCCGCACATTTTTGTATACTACTAAAACCCATTCTTCATCTAGCGTCGGGTTTTTGTTTGAAAAAATCATAACGAGATTCTAAAGCATTACTAATACGTAAAAACATAGCCTTATTCAGACGTAAACGATGTTCGAACGAGTTGTCATTATAAAGATAATTATCGGCAAAGTAATCACGTACCAATAAGTCGTGTGCAGCTTGGCGATCACGATTGACGACCACCCTTGTACGCGCTGCATTCGAACTTTCTTCGGCGTGAACGTGTTGCACAACATTGAAGAATATCTCGACGAATTCTACATCGTCATCCGAGTCAAAACTTTTTAAAAATTCCATATGTATTGTGGGATCCATGTGTATGTGTTTTGTGGTTTTAGAAAATAGAATGGGGTGTAAATTTTGGTATAATAGAAGTGTTATTTATAATTAGTAAATTGTGTTTGAAAAAAAAACAGCCAAAATAACCGTTCAACGACCAAAAAATCGAACACCAATCAACTTTCTCGTTTGAATCTGTCGTCGAGAACACGAAGAACCACGACCACGCCCGGCCACGGAACGTCGGGGTGGTGTGCACGATCTGTGCTCGTTGCCATATAGACCACGAGTGCCTTCGTGGTATGTATACCACAAACGATCCATGCTCGTTGCCACATAGACCACGAGTGCGTTCTTGGTATGTATACCACAAGGCCTTAGAAGTTCTGTGGGTATTCCATCAAAAAAAACTCTATGGGTAATTTTTTCTCATAGTACTATAAAATTGGTAATTATTGACAACAAAACAACAAGTACATGAATAGGAGAAACCTGAATAATTGTGAGACGATGTCGACGCGAGAAATTAGGCGTCCATTTATTGAAAGCATCACGAATTTCGGATTCCTTCACCTCATCCAAACATACGCCACCACTTTTCACCACCTTCTCCACCCTTGATTTCATTCTTTCATACAACACCTGCCACACTAATCATTAGCATTATTTGGCAGCAGAAGAAAAATGAATTAATTAAAGCGAACAACAAGGTTAAAATTTAGCAATCGGAAAGGGAATGAAGGAAGCACCTTGATTTCATTTGTCTCAGGGAACCAAACAGGATCACTTTCAAAATACACTTCAGGAGACCGATCAACAATATTATGCTTCTTGCAGTATGGAATCCAATGCTTAGCAAACTTAGCACCCTCCATGAACGCATTAAGTGTCACTTCAGACCCTCCATCATCTGATATATAAACAGAAAGCTTATCCGTCGGGTAGTCATATGCCAATACAGATAAGGCCGTGTTCACCACTCCAACTGGTGGCTCTTTGGTGGGATCAGCCATGCAAATCAGCACATCCAACGCCGGATACTCTCTCTCCGCAACAACCTGTTGCAGGTTTCCGGGAAAAACACGACGATGGATTGGATTCCAGTGAAAGCATTGGGAGGTGAACCGCATAAAAGCTTACACAAAATCGGCTTGAAACAGAGCAATGGGGATTGGAGTTGGAGAGTAGATTAAATTACGGCAGTGGCGGAGGAGGAGAGAAGAAACGACGGTGGCATAGATGATTGCAAAAATACGGTTAAGCCATGTTTTAGAAAATCGTTCAGAGGAATGGAGGAGAAGAGCGGCCATGGTAGGTGGTTATGGTTGTCTAAATTAAATTCTATGCCTAGCTATTTCATTCTTCCTCAGCCAGTTGGTTAGATTAATTATCACCATTTTAGATATTATAGTCAGGGTTTTTCTATTTTGAAGTCGGCTTTATTGTTGGGTCTGTATTGGAATATTTGGAATTCTACCTGTATTGTTATCGTTGATGTTTGTAAATGTTTTTTTTTTTTTTTTTAATTATTATTTTTTGATTTTGTCTCTTGTTTGAAAGGGTATTCAAATTCTATTTAAACGGTCCTCTTGAGATAAACATCTTTAAATGATTATCTTTATGATAAAAACATTTCAATAAAGCACAAATTGTCCTCTTGAGAGGGAACATCTTTAACTGACTAGCATGAAAAACAAAAAAAATACGAAAATGGAAGATAACTCAACAGCTTTACAAAATATTGCTGGAGAAAGACATTGAAGAAAAGAAGATCATAGGAGGAATTCTATGTGCAAGGAAATAACTGACTTTTTATTATATTAAGATAAACAACCACAACATATTACATACACACGTATATATAGTGTACATGACAACTTTGGAACCAAGACAATGGTTGGTGAGCCATGATCACGACCCTTTAGAGAATCGTTACAACTCTTGGAGAAGTAATTCCTACAACACCAACTTGTAACTGCCATCAATAAATAACATTTACACCATAAGTCTAGCTTAATTATATCTTTAACATACCCCCTACCCTAGACATATACAATCACCAAACATAATCTTCAACAATTTGAAACCTTCAAATTTGTTTTGGAGAGCATTTTCCAAAAGCCATACATCAAAAAAAAAACTTTCATGCAATTTTCCTTTGCAAGAAATAAAACCCATCAAAATCTTTTCACTTTGTTGCATACATCACACACACAACATCAATATCACCAAGATTTTTTTCATTTGGTTTCATGCATCACTTTGGGATTAATCTCAAACATCATCTTCTTCAAAAACTCTATTGTAACAAAGAAGATGGTAACAGAGACTGCTTTTCAATAAGATCTAAACAAACCCAATGAAATGAGCAGTTTGGTAATGGATCAAAATGAGTAAGGGTTAATATGTTAAACTTAAGCCAAATTTGTTTTATATATATATATATATATATATATATATATATATATATATATATATATATATATATATATATATATATATATATATATATATGAAGTGGTAACAAGATGAATGTGGGCTTATTTAGGTGTCGCAGCTAAAGTGGTAACATATCCTGTGTTGATATTGTTAACCAGTCAACTACTAACTTAAACAAGAATGTAACCTGGACATTGATTATCTGAAATGAAATGAGCAGTTTGGTAATGGATCAAAATGAGTAAGGGTTAAATATGTTAAACTTAATCCAAATTTGTTTATATGTGTAATATATATATATATATATATATATATATATATATATATATATATATATATATATATATATATATATATATATAAGCTATTATATCATTGTATTTTACTGTTTTTATTTCTTACTAGGAATTTTTGTATTTTGTCAAAGTTACCCAATTATAGCAATGAAAATTACTGTATTTTGGATGGTGTTGTTATATTGGGTCAAAATTTTAAGTAGAATTTTGTATTATGATGAAATAAAAGTAGAATGTTGAAATAAACAAAATGAAAGAGATACCAATACTATGTTCATTTATTTATATGTTATAGCATCGTAATTTCCTTTTTCATATTTTAACATTGAACTTTTCGGGTTTTTCTTATTTAGGCATTTTCCCCTAAAAAAATTTATCCAAGTATAGCATTCTATTTACAAATAATGTGTAAACTATTTTTGTTTTATGCAATATTGTAATTGGTTTTGTGTCCGATCCCTTTGGTGTTTATATTTATGTTGTTATGAAAGATGTCATTTTTTTGTTATAGCATCCTAATTCAAGAAATAGAATACTTCTTTTGATTCTGTAAAGTACAATATAGCAATTGTAAAAAGTAAAAGTAAAATGCCTTAAAAGATTTATCCAAGCATGACATTGAACTTTCATTTCATTTTCTTTTTTCGACTAACATGTCAAAAAAATTACTTTTATTTTATGTTTTTAAAATATAATAACAATAATGTTAATAAAAAGATAACAATATTATTATTATTTCTCTATATCTCTGTATCTTCTACATTTCATTTTTGGCTTAATCTTAAATTCCAAATTTACCCTTTAATGTTTTGAATTTCCATTTACTATATCCCGCCATTTTGTAACGACCAAAAATTTCAACAAAATTTAAACTTTTCAAAAACAACTCATTTTAATAATGTTATTACAAAAAAGTTTTCAATACATTTATTATCAGAGTATTCCCAGAACCATATCATAAAACATAAACACGAGAAGCGGTACGATCACGCCTTCGCCTTGCTACGGTCTCCTGAAGAACCTGAAAAACATTAAACCACAACTGTAAGCCCGAAAGCTTAGTGAGATACCCCCAAAATACCAACCACATATACCATACACATATAACATGTCATATCATAATTGAATCCCAGAACAACCATGCATATCGGGTCTACTATGTGACTGGTCCGCCATATCGGGCCTTCAGTCCACTGGGTCCACCCTCCGAGTCTAGTCATGTCCATCGAGTCTGTAGTGTGGTTGGTCCGCCCGCATCGGGCCTTCAGTCGGCCTGGTTCACTCTCCGAGCCTCGGCACGTCTGGTCCGCCCTCGTGGGGCTGCAACCTATCCGGACCACTCGTTGGGCCTTCGGAACAACCGGTCCACCCTGGGTATCTTGGCCTACAGCACAAAGCAGGACTCGCCTCAACCCAACTCCAGTCCAAACAACCATGTGCACATAAACATACAATCATATAACAGTTCACAGTCAACAAACTGATCAAACAGATCACATAACATATCATCATCCTAACCAGGATACCGACCTAACCGATCACTAGCATATACCATCCTAGCTACCACGATGCAAACATATCAAAGCAATAACATAACAACAAATACTCGGATCTCAATCCGATAAAGGGCCGGCCTTGGTGCCTTAGACCCTGTTGATATAGTGAGGATAACTCACCTCGCGATTGCCGATACTCTGAACTGAAGAAGCAGATTCTCGAATCACCAACTCACCGCAAATCCCGAACTAGCCCACATAGCACAAATACCCATTAGGCCAAGCATACATCCACTTATCAGGCCAAGGCCAAAGTCCAAATCTTATACAAAGTCTAATATTGGCCCAATTTACCAAATTGGGTCCACCTCACCAAATGGGCCTAGATCCAAGGTCCATAACAATAATTGGGTCAAAAGTACTCTATCCACAAATTTCCAGTCATGGCCCATAAACCAACAACCCACAAACATCCCAAACTCTAAGGCCCAACATTATAGTCCAATCAGGGGGAAGTACGTTGGGCGTACACGTTGAATCACAGTTGAGGATCGGGGCCCTGACCCGCTACGCGGGGCGTACTACCAAGTTACGTGGGGTGTAACTTTGCAATCCATTAAGTCCTTATAACCTCTTAATGGCTTAAGCTCTTAAGCCCAAACTTCATATCCCTAGGCCAAATATGCCTAAGATTCATAAAGTCTCAGACTTTATCACGTGGGACGTCCAAAAGCTTTTAATCCAAGGTCTTAATCTATTAAGACCTATATTTCTCACACATGGAACAACTACAGCCTTTAGGACCTCATTTTTCTCACTCAATACCTTTCCAAAGGTCTGAAAGGACAGATAATCTCGGCCAACACAAAGCATGAATCAAGATGAGGAATTTTGGGACAAGAAAGATGCTAAAACTCCACAACACTTAGATCTAAACAAAATAATTGCCAAGCAAGAAGCTTTATACCTCAAATAAGCTCCAAAGGATGATATCTCTCCAGATCTACAAGATCCAATCGTTCCTCTCCTTCCTTGACAACTTCTCCTTTCTTCTTCTAGCTTTTCTTTTGCCAAAAATGAGCTTTCCAAGGCCAAAAACACCCAACAATGGAGGGAATACGGGTTTCTAGGGTTTCTGAGGTTAAGGATGAGCTTATTGAGGATAAGGTATGAACCAACATGTTCCTTATATAGTGGCTGACCCTAAAATTAGGGTTTGGGGTTTCTGTGAGTATGCTGGGCGTACCTCTAGTACGCTGGGCGTACTCACCTTGCCACCCCTCACTACGTTGGGCATACGTCCAGCTTACGCTGGGCGTACCCAACCAACTTCAAGCATGCATGCCATGCATGCATGGGACCTTTTCTCTAATTACCCCTAAGGAGCTATGATAGATATTATCTTCAAAACGCCGCAACTCTTCAACTCTAAACCCACTCTCAATAAACTTTACATTCACACGAGGGTGGCGAGAAGCCATATGCTTCTATCAACATACATTAGTCCGAAACCTTCTCGGATAAAACTCATTTCCCATAAAAGGACCAACACTACCCTTTCTCTTAAATCTCAGGGACTCATAATTAATTACTTTAAGAACGGGGCGTTACAATTCTCCCCCACTTAAATTAGACTTTGTCCTCGAAGTCTGCGGCAACTCTACTCCAGAACTACCCACACAATGCACCACTCGGCATTCACCGGACCAGGTTCCTCCAGACACAACCAACGAATCCCGAAACCCAACTTTCCCTTTCTTGCTGACAGGATGACACATGCTTCAGCCTCAAAGCAACTCCCACGAGTTCTCCACCGCAATCTCATAACCACACTGAACTGGCTCTAGTGTCCTCGGGTTAGGAAAACCCGTCACACTGACGACACCTCCAAGCATCCCC